GTTTACGACAGCATCATAATTTTCAACGCTAAGATATATTCAATTTTTTTTTCTCCAAATTTTAAACACAGTTTTTCCATTTCAATACGTACGTCATTTTGTATGAATACGATCTCGGTTGGGCTGAACATATATAATATTATATTGTTAGGTCTAATCCGAGTTTTCCGATGTTCCGGGCAATTCTCCAAGAACGTTAACTATCCGATCAACCAAAACAAAAAAAAAAAAAACTTAAGACCGCAAGAGCGTCGTTGATGGGTCTTCCTACAGACCAATAAGTCTTCTTCCCTTCCTTGCGAAAATTTTAGAAAAACTTATACTTAAACGTATCCTACCAATAATTTCTGACAAGAAAGTTCTACCGGACTACCAGTTTGGTTTTCGTTCTTCGCATTCGACGACCCATCAACTGCATAGGGTAGTAGATGCAATATCTTTCTCTCTAGAAAAAAAATTATTTTGTACAGCAGCTTTCTTAGACATATCACAAGCTTTTGATAGAGTCTGGCACGATGGTCTCCTGCATAAAATAAAAACATTTCTTCCTTCACCCTTCTATCTTCTAATCAAATCATATCTAACTGAACGTACCTTCCAAATACGATACGGGTCTGACACGTCAAGTATTGGCAGTATAAGTGCTGGGGTTCCACAGGGCGGCATTTTATCCCCCATTCTCTACAATATATTCGCAGCAGATCAACCAATCACACCAAATACATCAGTAGCAGATTATGTCGATGATAAAGTAATTATATCTAGGAATGACAACCCATGCATAGCCTCCGCAAACCTTCAAACTCACCTAGACCTTATGGAGAATTGGTATACCAAATGGAGATTTAAATTAAACCATAGCAAGTCTATACACACCACCTTTACGCTTAGACCAGCTCTTACCCCTGAGGTAACTCTGTACGGTGCTCCAATTCCATTATCTCCTTCAGTTAAATACCTTGGTCTTACATTAGATAAAAGATTAACTTGGGCCCACCATATTAGAGCAAAAAGACTTTCACTGAACAACCGCTTTCGTATCCTCAAACCTCTAGTCTCTAATAAACACACCTCCCTTCATGTCAAACTCCTCATCTACAAAACACTACTGAAACCAATCTGGACGTACGGGATACAGCTACGGGGAAGTGCAAAAAATACAAATTTAAATAAAATTCAATGTTTTCAAAACATTGCGCTAAGAAAATTAATAAATGCTCCCCTATACATATCTAACCATACTCTCCATACAGACCTAAAATTAAAAACTATCCACGAGGAAGCCAAACACTTTTACAAAAGATTCCACAACCGTCTTTCCTCCCACTCAAATCCTTTAATTAAAAACCTTTCCTCCCTCTCAATCCTCGGCAGTCCTCCTAGACGATTAAAACGTGAATGGTGTAGAGACCTGTTACAAATTTTAATATAGAAAAAAAAAATAAAATAAAAAAATACTAACTTATTAAATATATATAATTCATTTACATTTTTCATATAAACTATCAACATTTAAGTGTCATCATTGGGTGGCTTCTTTATTCACTTTTTGTATTTTGTATACTCATGTTATCTGTACCCCTTATCATATATGCTTATTGTGTCGTTTGATATAGATTGTATATTACGTATTAAAAAAAAAAAAATAAAAAAAAAACCCTTGCCTTGCAGCTTTCACATCAACATGATGACAAAAATAAATCGCTACGCTGCATTGACCAAGGCATACAATGAAACTGAAACTAATGTATGTTCCTATATAGTAAAAATATAGTTGGATGTAAGCAACTATATCAAACTGAAGTCACACCGGAACCCGCTCGAATACCGGCGATTTACGAGACGTCTTCGGTTTCTTAATATTCAACAAGAAACTAGGTAATAACACACATGGATGTCAACAGTTTTTCGTGCAAGTGCACATTCCTAATAGTCCAGCTCAAAAATCCATATGATATACAATATATTTATTATAATTGATTACTTGAGCGATATCTATGCAGGATTTCATTCCTTTCGAACACACTGTAAACACCAACACCAGGTAGTAATTAGAAATATCTAGAGTGCATTATCCCTTACCACTATTACGCATATGTAGAAGTAGCTCTTATTGAAAGATAACCAAGAAATATTCAACAAATAATCGGGTTATCGAAAAACCACACGCAAAACGTAATAGTCCGCTCCGGTGCTACACAAGTCAAGTATATAGTCATACGCGTAACTACTATATGATCTGGTACATATACAGCATCAAACAAAATTTGTATAATATACAAACAACTGACAGAATTCACAAACAAACCGAAAAAGTATAACTTCAAATTCATCACGTCCCCATAAGTCATCACGTATCAGCGTCCGGTTTATAAAACTCTAGCTTAACAGCCGCCAAACCAAATCCAATACTTTCGATTCGCTGTCGAGAATTTTGAACGAATTCAAAATCTTATTAAATCCATTAATTTCTTTACTTACCGTTCTTTTAAATAAACTCAAACAAACTTCATATAATAATCGTTTGTTTCAGTTTCAAATCTCTTATTCATAAACCTCTTTAAAATTATCATTATTTATATTTAATTCCTTCGCTGTATTGTACGTCAAATAATCAACATTTTTAATTGCTTTTTAAACATTAGTATCTTTCATCTACTACATTAACACCATACGTTATACTATAATTAATTTAACAAATTTGTAAGAGCATCAATTTGCTGAACCATTTTAAATTAAATAAATAAATATTACCGGTTTTCTTATTGCTGAAAACGATGAGACGTGATGATATTCCTGAATTAAAATGCCGATTTGTCGTCGAGTCGTTGTCGAATTTATATGGGAAGGAATCTCGGTGCTGTTAATAACTTTAAACTGGAAAGGATCGGGATCTAGGATTTATTTATCCGGTACACTCGCTTTTTGTGTAGGGAAGTGATCGAGTTGTGCCAATTTGTTTTTTTATGTGACGACAAAAAAAAGGTTTTTTATATTTAACCTCAAAATATAAAATAATCCAGTTGTAGGTATTCTATATTGAATTCGAATAATAACTGGTACGTTTACATATAATGCAATCCTAATAATTAATAATGGTTCATTATATTATTATCATCATGTTTAAAAAAAAACAAATTTATTTTTTTATTTTTTATATAATACGATATCTGGCTTTTCCTTTTGGTGCGATGAAATCGGATTAAATAACAGTTTGTTTGAACTTCGATTAAGAAACTTTCCCCTCAAATGTTAAGAAGACTGTTCGGAAAGTTTTGAAGTACGTTTTCGTGTACACCATATTACGCGTCGTAGGGATAAAACCGCAGCGAAAAGTTGGGGGACAATCGTTGCCACCACCTCAAGCTGTATATAATGATTTGAATTCGACTGAAGCACTGCACTTTCGCGTATTATTATTTGATCGGTATGCAACTCTTGTCACAGTTTTTGGCTTATGTAAAACTGCACGTGAGTATATATGTATAGTGCACTTATTGCAGAAAGAACGAATGTATTTTTAATATCATAATTAATTCGTAATCAAAACAACTGTAATTTTTTTTCCATTAATTTTAGTTTGCTCATAACCTTAAACCAAGATTTTAGTAGAGGCGAGGAGTTCTTAAAAAAACGAGATAATGTTGTAATCAACCATGTAAATATTAACAAGTCATAAAATACAAAAAAGGAAGAAGAAATAAAATATTTCTATATATTTTAAAGACAGTTAGACACTGAATTATTAATGAAATAAATCAAAGATTACTAAAAGTAACAGAATCATTTTACTATAAAGCTTTTTAAAAATAAAATAATTGCTAAATTACTTAAAATAAATATTAAAGGATTTATATACAATTCAACTGCAACATGAATGCGGCTTCTTGATTCAAATGACTTTTAGAACATTTAGTTTTGTTTATGTTTTCTGCTTATATAGATATTAAAGGATCAACAATTCAGTGATCGATATCTGCAAAAGTGAAGTGATACATTTGTAAGAAAAAATTGATGCTTTAAATCAGAATTATTCATCGGCGAGGACTGTATGTTAGTGTATTTTTCTATACGTCTTTTTTACTGATCTACCGTATCATTCCGATTCTTTCTCGACTAATACGGTACAATGCTTATTAGCACTATTATAGATAAACACTTGGGGTATTATGATAATAACAATAAGTTTAGCCAAATAATTTGAAATATTTAAAAGTGTAATCTCATTTAAATCGTGATTGGTATTTATGACAAAATTATATTTTTATAGTTTCACTTAAACATTTTGGTTTGTATTATTTCTCATATATAGTATTGCATTTTATTAAATAATGAAGTGAAAGTAATCAATGTAATTTGAACTAAAAAAAAGTTATGTATGCTCTGTTAACTATCTACTATGAACTATCTATTAACTATTCGACTATGTATTAAAAAAAAATGTATGACTTGGCCAAACGTTTTACCATACACATAACTCAAATAGCATAAGGGGTTGTGACGGGCCAATGTCTCTCATGACGATTTTTCTCAGTGTAGCCTCGTACGGCTTTAAGATAAAGTACAATTTTAGTGCCTCATAAAGTAGCATATTTGTAGTTGTAGTAAATATTGTTCTAATATGACGCAGAGGCGGCTCGACTTTTTTCAGTTGATGGTTCAAGTACAGGTTAAAGTACTAGGTAATATTAGAGTTAACTCTGAAAAACATTATTTTTGTCATTAAACTGTTGATAAAGTTGATGTAATAATCATCATATCTACATTATGTACCATGTATTGGTTTTCACAAAAATTTGGTAGGCCATAAAATTATCGTGTTAATATTACAAATTACGTAAGTGTAAGTACCCTAAGAGTCACTCACACCCGTTATTGGTTGACGTTTCGGTGAACCACAAAAAAAAAAACGTCGAACCACCTCTGCTTATACGTACATGTTCCGAACAAGTTAAATACACTATTTTTGGGCAAACGAATATACATGTACTGTAACTCACTTGTCTCTGCCACTCGTTTCGGGTTTCCGCGATCTTCTGGTAAGTGTTGCCCATCATGGCGATCAACATGTTCACCAGCAGTATGGCCACGATCACCATGAAAACTATGAAGCAGAACTACGTTTCACAAGACAAACGTAGCGTGTGAGAATGGATTAAAAAAAAAATATATATAATATAATAATATGGTTTCATTGTTTAAGTCAAGGTTACTATTTAGAAAGTCCAAAGAGAAACTGTACACTATTTATCTAAGACCCATTGCTACATATGGATGCGATACATGGGCCACAACAGGAGAGGACTACAGTAAACTCCTTGTCTTTGAGAGGAAAATTTAAAAAAAAATGCATGGACTTATTTTTGATGTCAATGAGCAAAAATGGTTAAGGAGGTCAAATGAGGAACTCATGAATTTGTATTCAAAAGAGGATAGCTTGGGTTGGGCATGCGTGGAGAGCTGATGGGTGTCTTATAAAGATGGTTATGGTGAATTAAATAGATCGGAAAAGACCAAGAGGTCTTTAAGGTTTTTAAGGTCGTCTAAGGCAAAGATGGATGGGTGTAGTTAGAAATTATCTAAAGGAGCTGAAACCGGACTGGAACGGAAACATGGATTTAGCTTACGCAAGAGACGTATGAGGGGATTTGGTTTTAGAAGCAAAGAGCCTAAATAGCTCGTAAAAGCTAAAAAAAAAGAAATACATTATTTAAATTTTTTTATTTTATCATTATTTGCATAAATTCCGTGTTTTAAAATGTATTTTTGAGTGGAAAACATTTTACTTATTTTTAATTAAATCTCTGATAAACGATTTTTTTTCACAGAACTATTAAGTTCCTTTATTGGAGGGTAAAATGCATGTATCTCAACCAGGGCCACGTTAAGGGGGGGGGGAGTCAAAGGGGGCAATTGCCTCCGGGCGTCGTAGTTTTGTAAAAGTAAGGTGGCGCCCTTATCTGCATTTAATATGCTACCTGTACCCAGTGGCCCCGTAGAAAAATTTTGCTCTGGGGTGCTGATATGTTTGACACTACTCTGATCTCTACTAAAACCAATTGACTAACGTACAATTTGCTAGTATAACCGCGTTGTTCTCGTCATGTTACTGTTGCAGCCATCCGTGCTTAAGCCGTTAAACGCACTTTTTCAAAATGTTATCGGGTAACATTTATTTTTAAACTTTGTAATTATATTTATTCATTTTTAATACAACTTTATTATAATTTATATAATAATTATTATATATTATTATAATTTTAGTTATAATTTTAAAAGGTAACCCAGGCCAGATCAAAATGGTACGTATTACGCTTAACTTTTTGAGACTGCAGTACGTATTCAACGTTTTGAATTCTAATCGCGTTTTTACCGTGTGGAATGCCTTTATTCTGGTGGTGCGTGTCACGTGGCATTAACATACTCAATTGTTTTACAATATTGAAGTAGAGGTGACGATTTAAGTGAACCCTTGAGGGCGACTAAGGCCAGAGGCATTGCTACATAGAAAAGGGTTTCGGTGCAGTAAGTGTACTAGGCTCCCTTATTAATATTTTATACTTACATGAAAATTCAAACTTTTTTTTTAAACGTGAAAACTTATTATGAAACAATAAATGAAAATAGTCAACAGATAATTTATACATGTATGTATTATATATATTATATATATATATACAAAATAAAAAGTAAATCCAATTTATTACTATGAAAAACATATTGCATGTTGCGTGAATTATTATTCTATATTAATATTCATTGTAATTGGAATTATCACATATGATTTGTGAATTTACTGTCTAGTACATAAATATTGTCAATTATTTTAAATAAATATAATCTCAGAAATATCTAAGGATCTTAAAACCTCCTGTGTTCTTGGGCTTCAGGGCGCTGTCCCACTTTGCTCTACGTTAGCTATGCCATTGACTAAAACTGACTAAGATTAAATTTACACACACGTCATGAAATTGCATTAACGGATAAATCCTTCACTCTGCAAATGATCCAATAACCGTACCGAACTATGAATAAATCATCAATTTTCATGATTATTTTTTGAGAAGACAATTTTAAAATTATGATCAGAAAAAAATGTATGTCTATGTTCAAGTTAACATTTTCGAATCATTGCATTAGTCCGATAACGAAGCAGTCACATGTAGGTATACGAGTAAAGTACGCATTTTTTGAAGTTCATGATGTATATTTTTTTCGTATTCACCTTTAATGAACGTTTTAATTTCTCTATTTAAATTGCGTTTTTATAATTATTTTTATATAATGGTTTCTTTCGACAGAAATCGATGCAGTTTTATAAGGTAATAGATTCGAGGTTGGTTATAAACATGTTTGAAGAAATATAAATGAATCGTTATCGTTTAAACAGAATACCGAAAAATTCCCACGTCTACGTTTCCCATGCTTTTCCCGGTAGAAAATACATTTTTGATACTCAACCAAACGTTGAATTCTATCATTTTTAACAATTTGAAAACTATAATGTTATCAAAAGTATTACATGGAGTATTAGGATTAGGTTACTGCGTTTTAATGCGTTATGCATGTATCCTAAATAGCAATATAATATACAGCCGGTTCGAGTCCTCGTAGTCACGCGAAAGGACATTTCGAAACGATTAATTCAAGTTTGAAAACTACATGGATAGTGGTTTGTTTTAAGAATTTTAGTGTTTTGAATTGTGAGCGCTATTACAACAAATAATCGCATGGAAATTCGGGATCGCTGTGATAGGACGCATACATAGAATGCGCGCATGCATGCGTGGATAAACGATTATCGTAAAAAGACCAAATTTAACTGGAAAACGCGATGCTTTTATAACAGACATATAATGAAAGTTTTATCGTCGATTCCCGGCCGTTTTTATACCCGAAAGTACTCGTACACGTTATCCTGAGTGCTATAACAAATCCAACGACACTCATCGGTTCAGATACAATGAAACGTAGGTAGCGCAATAATATCCTACAACCTTGTGTCTCGCCCGGCCAGTGGTAGCTTATGGACAACATACTGGTGAATACGATTTGATGAAAATCCTTAAGCTTAACAGTGCATGTTTTGGGCGCATTTCGGTCGGATGAATTAGTAAATTTAGTTAAATTATTTCCGTGTGTTTTGTGTCAAACGTTTCATACGTTTTAAAAAACTTACGAGATAAAACGGACGAAGTAATTGTACATGTAAGTAATTTTTTTTTTTAGGGCCAACGTTTAATTGCCCGTAAGATGGAGTAAATGTGTTCGAACTGCTTCTGCGTCGAGCGAAACGTTTACACGATACGAGCGCGCGCGTTTAACATACCTTTGCAACCAACGTGTGACTGGTCTTGTCGAACGCCGTGTAGTAATCGGTGAAGGTGTTGACGGACATGAGGAACATCGCCATGACGGACTCGGTCGGTGTGGGCATCGGGTTCAGCACTGAGTCGTCGATGCCCTCGGGTGTCAACGGGTTGTCATACGACAGAAAAATCACGTAATAAGCTGCACACCGAAACGTCATAAACGGTAATGCGATTCCGTGCATTGCACATAATATATATTTATTATTATTATAATAATACATGGTTTCTATAAATTTTCTATTTTCCATTTCGAGTATAAGGGGAGGATGGATTTAGATATATGATATTCCTATAGTGGGATACACAGTGGAGTCCCAAATAAATTAACATATATACATGTATGGTTTGCTTATTGAAATATCGAATACTATATAATATTTCTTATGGGTACATTTAAACTAAACTCGTTTTTCTCTGGTTACGGTTAAATAATAACAAATAATTACTGGAGGGGATGGGGAGCTCACGTTAATAAGGGCCTTCGAGCTGCAGCCTACTCGGCTCTTTCTAAATCTGTCCTAGTACAGACGTGTTATGAGTCCATGCTATTATGACTGGACGGTATTGATTTCAAATCCCGTTCTTTCAACTACATTTTCACGATTTTTCAACGTTAAAAAATAGTTGAACAATTTAATCGTTTTGATTGGACCTTGTAAACAAAAAAAAATTATCATTTACAAAACCCTTTTATCACCTAGTCGTGTCGATAGAAATAAATGTGTGTACAATTTTGATGTATTTATGTTTGAATATGTGCTTACGATAATATGATTCAATACTGGGAACAGATTTAAGCTTTGTAATTTTCTTCTACTGAAAATGTAATGCAAACTGTGTGATAAAAATTATATACGAATTTTCATACGATAAAAAATCCTCGTGAATGAAATTAAAAGAAAAATATTCCAGTTCCTACACAAAAATCAAGTGCAGTGAAAGAGCACTTGAAAGTATTTCGAAATGATCTCCGAGTATGGAGTGTAAAGTACGATTTAATTGCGGTATCATTAATGATTATCATTTGTTTAAGCGAGTATAAGTGTAAATGATGAATATTAAATATTAAAAAAAAAAAAAAAAACCATGAATTTATATTTTTCAGAGCATAAATAAATTAGGTACAAACCGATGATGGTCATCGGATCTTATATCTAGAGTTATTTTATCCAATTTTATGCAGTGTATAAACACAACAATCGTACAGAATAATATGATTTGAAACATAACATGAAACGAACATAGTTAGCTACGACAACTATTATGTGAAACTATATAGATGTATAGAAAAATGGTGTTTTAAAAGAAAGAAAAAATGGTAGAATAGACAGAATCATTTTTACCGTGCACATAATCTAGATTATTTATTTTGCGATTGTCATCGTAATTGTTTTAATGCAGCATAATCACTTGCAGTAACATTGTACGCAAACAGGTCAGTTTAGTGATAATAACTGATACACGTATAGGTAGGTATGCAACGTGGTGAATAATAGTTTTCTCCTATTGAGTTGTAGAAAACGTGAGAAATATAATAATTTGTTTTTGTATAATATTTACTGTCGTGAAATATAAAATGTAACTGCGGCGTAAGTTTTTAGGATAAAAACTTTAGTTCAATAATTTAACGGTCGAGTTCCGGTGATCTACGATGATTTCTAATACTCTTTAGGCTTTTGTTATTGCTTCTGCCGACCGTTTTCTGTTCCTCAAAACGATAAAAACAAAACTGGGATTTTATCGTCATGTTAGTAATCAATATATGCGTCTAAGGAAACGTGATGAGCAACCGGATGATGGGTGGAGAAGTTCCGGAGTAGCCTCGGGTCGTTACAAGGACGTTACACAACAAGTTGTGTTATAATTTAATAAGAATTAAGGAATTTAAAGTTTGAACATGGAATGTAATATAGAGTTGTATCGTTAAAACAATATCAGATCGATCGGTACAACTGTATGTTCTGCAGTGTATGATGTAAAAATCGATATAACCAGAACTGATAGGTGCTTTTCAGTAGAAATAGAACGAGTTCAATAGAATTGAGATCACAGTTTCACCGAAACAATTTTTAGGAAACACTAAGTCAATAAATTTACTAATTTAATGTCATTTGTTTTTCATTTTGTTTTATGTGTAAATTGAAAATATTCTCAAAATAGATTTTTATTACAAATGTATACAAAAAAGGCTTTGTAAAAACCGTTATTCGATATCATTTGCATTTATTGTAGTTTTGATGCAATTAGACAATCTCGAAACTTCAATGGTACACTGGATAATTATCGTCGAAAGGTGGCAACGGAATCTCAAAAAAGTCTGGATGAGAATATTGAGTGTTTAATTTTTGAATTTCCCTAGAAACTCGATTAATATTTGCCCGTCCAAATGTTATATAAAGGGAAATGTTAATTTAAAGTTAAATAACTACTGATGTATTGGAAACGTATAAAAGCCATAATTTATTTTGATTTCAAATAAAATCCACGTGCGTTAGTAATTAATTTTTTTGATATACATTTCAAATTGTTTTAAATTTTCAAATAACAAATGATCCAATGATAAAAAATGTCGAAATACTTTGCTATGGCTTTAGAGAACTTATATTTCAAATCGGGCATTTGTTTGCAAATAACTAACTGTTTAGTAAATACCTATTATTATATTTATCTATTATATATATTTAGTTATAATAATTAGTAATTTTTATTGCGTAGTTTTTTTATTGTTAATGTTTATGTTATCTGTTTATCATTAATAATAATTTTTAAACAATAACATTTTACAAATTATTGAACCATTATTTCTGAGTAAACCACGAGAAACAAAAAAAATTAACATCTGAACGGTAAAGGAATCGGTTGTTGAGATATCATTCGCGATTTCGTAGTGATCAATGCGTTAAAAAAGCTTTGTTGATTTCATGAAATTGCTAATTTCATGAATTTGGCATAACACACAACGTGTGAGTAAATTACTTATAGTTTCAAACTATACTCATTGTATGCTGTACAATGTTATGTTATACTGTTTTTCTTTGAAAGTAAAAATCTTAACGATACCTGTAGCAGTTCATATGATTTATCGACCAAACGGTTATATGTTACATACGATTTCAAAATTTAATTATTTTCATTAGAAGAACCCTTAGGGTAATATCGTCGTACGCATGCCGTTTGGTACCTGTGCATTATAACATTTTGGGTTTTGGAGATTCTGTTAAATTGTAATAACAATGATATTGGCGATGACGAGACACGATGGCGTCACGTGTCAAAGTGGAATAATAATAATAATAATAATGTTTTTGTGCACGCTCACCTTGCGAGAATCCCATCACGAACACCATGTATATAGACACGAACCTCAGCAAGTCTCCCATTACCATTCTGTATATCATGACCACGAACGGCCCTACGGTCTTGAAACCCCTGTCGACGAGAAAGTCCGTAAGTGTTAATTGTTTTTATACTAAAATAGGATGTATATATTGGTTCATAGTGTTATAATATATTTTACATTTATTTTATGCAAGGGAATCGATTGGCGTCGCCGTTTAGTATGTATTGCAATCGATGAACTTTCGACGAGTGCCGAGCGTAAAGAAATAAAAATAAAAAAATGGTCGCAGACGTGAACTGCGGGTAAAATGTTTTCGGCTAAATTACACAGTTCGCGGTGCAGCAAATGACGACGCAAACGACTAGTTTTTTTTTTACGTGATGTTATTTTTAAACGAATACATAAAATGTAATATAGTTCGGTACTTAAATCCAAAATCATTTATAGTAAACATACGAGTATAACTACAGAGAAAAAATCGATGAAATTAAAAATCAAATAAACTCACTAAATGTTGATTAAATATTTGACTTTGTACCGCGTATACAGATTGTTCTTCGAAATGGAATTCTTTATTATGATATCTAGTGAGCTTATGAAAATAATTAAATTATTATTGATTTTTCTTTTGTGACTTATAGTGGCAAGGACAAATATTTATATTTTAAATTTGTTTTTATGTTTTGGTATAAAAATAAAAATAAATACTTTTTGTAATACTTGTAGGTATATTAAATATTTTTGTATAATATTGTAAATTTTTGAAACATTTTCAGTCACTTTATAGAGCTTATTATTCTGAGAATATTGAGTTTAGCCATTTTATTTTCGTTGACTTCATGATTTAAATATTTTTTTTAGTTCACAGTCAAATAGCTTCTTAAGCAAAATAGTATTTTGATATTATCTCATCTATTTTTTGGATTAGTTTTGTTTTATAACCTTGTAGACTAAATTTTTATAAACTAAAAAAACTTAATATCAAAAATCATAAAATTAATTATGAAAATAATAAAATTGTTATGAAAACATAAAATGTAATCAAAGCATGAATATTTGTAGTGCTTATCTCTGTAGATCTAATAAAACATAAAAACATAATTGGACAATTATCATTATCTCAGGAGATCTTATAATGGGTCCTAATATTCGTGGTACATCCTCCTGTATTTATAAAGACGGACATCACTTAAATAGTGTTTCAAATTGAGTACATAGTAATGTATTATATAAAACGCCATTAAATGTATAAAATGTTTTTTTGTGCGATCAGCTTTTCCTCGTTCGATTAGCTGTAGGCGCTCATTTGCGTTTGAATGACGGTGGAACAGGACGCTGCGTAATTGTTACCGTCGCACTGGGTATCCCGCGAGGCTCAACTGATTTTGATAAGTACCTCCTCACTTTTTAATAACGATAATATCCAAAATATGTTTTTCTTTTCTTCGTGACTCACATGATCAAATCCTACGTTTGTCAATATTTTGTGTCCGTCTTCGTAAAATATTAAAAAATATTACTATCTCTGTATTTTGTACAATTTAACGGAAGTCGTTTTATTTTTGATTTTTCGAACATTTCGATGGTTCAACTCTCTTAAACCTTACTATTTGTTTTCTTTTGTTTTTTTTTTTTTAGAAAACATTTTGCGTACTCTTCAGCTAGGTATTATTGTGTTAAAATAAAAACAAGTATTAAATCGCTTCCAGGAAAGTGTATACTAGTGGTGCCTGACTCATGACCCGCGGGTCACATGTGATCCGCTACATTTTTTTTAAATAAAACAAAATAGTAAAAAGAAAGTAAAATTATTATAAAAAACGATATTTTTTTATTTATTAATTTTATTTCCGAACATTTTCAAATAGAAATTTCACGATAAAACCCGTGCCCTTAAAAGAGCGTACTGATCAAATTAATGTGTACCTCAACCTGTAATTTTTGAGTAGCCAATAAAATATTTGAAAACCAATTCAAATGTGCATACATGTATACCTATTTTGTGTATAAAAATAATATTATTAGATTAATACTGAAATTAATCATACTTTTATATTTGATGACCCGTTTTAAGGTAATTGTTTACTAAAGTGACCCACCGAGGAAAAAAGTTCGGACATCACCGGTATATACGGTCAAAAATACAATATAATATAGCCTTTAAATAGGTTCAATATTTATTGACAGTTATTTCACTAAATTAAATTTTTATCAATGAACCGTCATACAAGCATGTTTATATAATGTGAATGGACGTTTCAGTATAAAAAATAATATAGATATTGGTAACCGAACGACGGAATATTGTTACGACTCAACAAGTATTTATGCCCTACTCGTATGGAGATACTCGAGAGAAACCAAAACCGCTTGGATACTAGGTGACAGGGCAACTAGGCAACTTAAGTCGCTTGTTGTCTTTAAACATGATATTCCAAATTAGTGCCATTTCAAGATTTTGACAACTTAGAGTTTAGAAAATATGGTTTAGTATTTTTCAATACGTGTATATTTATATTTATTATCCATATTAATTAAAATATTATGTATATTTTTATTATTAGTATATTAATATTTGTATTGTTGTTAACATTTCATAATGTGGCTTTAATGTAACTTCAGTGGCTACTTCACTCCAACCTTTTTCTGATACATTTTTTTTTTAAGTATTTTTTTACGTGTAATCGTATAGCTTAAGAGGCTTTTCAATTTCGTGTACGAATTTCATACTGATATTTTGCTCCAAAATAGACAAAATATATTACAATACAAATTCGGTGCACAGTAAAAAGATAAATTTCAGGTAACTTCTCGAGTCGCATAAGTTTATCTGTCACGACGATTTCAGTACCCAGTAATTACTAGACCCCTAGTACCCAGACGATTGAAGTTTCTTTTGAGTTTTTAAGTGTTCCCGTATGAAGAGGGTCTTAGAGTACTCGGTTCGTGAAAGTTGAACGCAATAAAATGTCAGTCATGTATGTTATGGTAATAGTACACGTGTCAAGGCATACCTGCAGAAGAACAAAAAGTACGGACAAGTAGTCAACATGATGATTACGGCTATACAGTCCTCGGCTTTGTCGTAGCACGTCAGCCTCAGCGGCGGTATGGTCATCATGAGCAGACAAGAGAACAGAAACATCACTCTTGCTGGTGCTATGGCCTGTGGGAGAAAAAAAATCGTTGGTCATAATAAGCAAGTGCAGGACTAATATAGTATTTAACTTCTAAATGTGACGACATTCGTGTAGCAATCGTGAACGCGATTTTATCTACACTGTGCCTGTATTATTATTGTATATAACCCGTAAACAAAATGAGCAGTTGAAATTATAATAACTTTATGGTAAATTTTATTGCTTAAACATTCTCACCGAGTGGCATTTTTTTTTTCGACATTTTTTTTTTAAGATGAGTAACTGTTATTGAACGGTTATCGATTAAAAAAAAAATATATAAAAACTAACATTTACAATCCTTATTGGACATCAAATAGGGAAAACTATAAAAAATATTTTAATAAATTTTTAGGTAAAAATTTATTTGTTGAACGCTTGTATTATTATTAATAGTATTAATAATCCATATTGGTGTTATTAACTAAAAATTAAACGTTCAGGTCCAACGCACTTGTTCCCGTTTCAGTTTTAATTAATCTTTTCCTGATAGACAATGATTATTAACAGTAATGAACTTTTTCTGTAGGTTACACGAGTATTCCATTACATACGATGAGTGCAGTTGGTAGTTACCGATAAATTTACTTTTAAAACCAGTATTTGATGCAATGAAAATATATCAAAATAATACAAAATCATGTGAAATGTTATTAAGTGACTTTTGAACTTGGGGGAAAAAAAAAGTCTGAAACAGTTAATTCAAAAACGCTAAAAGTCAAATCGATCTTCGTGCACAAGTTTCATTTCGTTTCACTTACATTTGATACGAATAAATTATATAGCATATTTTTATATCTATATACATAATAGATAACGAACATTATGAAAAATGCAAAATTAATTAATTTTATTTATTTATTCGTATGGCAAATTGAAATTAATTGAATTAATTTATTAGTACTTAATGACAAACGTGATAATATTAATACTACACTATGAACATAGACGTGTTCAGACTTTGATAGCTGAGGGTGCATAATACATTTTTAAATCATGAGACTTATTTTTTTTTTTTTAACACGAAAAAATATATATTTGTTGTGTTAAAAAAATCGCAATGATAGGAATATTTTTTAACGAAGACCAAAAAGTATAACCCATTGGCGTGTCAAAACTATAATAATACATTTTAAAACTAAAATAAAAACGCATACATAATACCACGCACTGTACTCTACTGATACCGTCGGTATTGAGTACAGATTGCACGACTTTACTTAACACGATTTTGTTGGAGACACAATCAGCCGGAGGGACCAGTGACCATCCGGCCACTCCCATAAACACATCTATGACTATGAGCCACTTCTACGATAATTATAATTGACTTTTCACGATCGCAGTAGCAATATGTATGCTTTTCTGGTGACGTTTGCGTTAACTAACCAAGTTTTCAATGAACATCTGCAATCCCAAAAAACCAGCTTCTCTGACGGCGGCCAGTAAATACAAAAATGCACCCATAAACATGGCCACTTCCGAGCCCATTCTAATCAAGTCGTCTGTCGAATGCACAGCCATGAGTCTGCAAACCTTTTGTCTCTTGTTCCACCAAAATTTTCTCGACTGTCAACAAAAAAACAAACCATACACACATAAATGGCATAAATGGTATTGGATAATAGCCATACGGTTGCATTCTCGTTCGAAAATACGTAGACGTATGGTATAGTACCTATTATTATTGACGCCACTCGTTCCAAACGCTCCAGCCAGGTTCCATTTATCGTGAAAATAATTAATGTATAAGAATAACAAGACCACACATTTTGTAAATTGGAAAATATTTTCAGCACTGTATAAAATATTAGCTATCGATATCGGAACCATATGCGGTTTTATAAGATTTATTTTTACCCTGCATTTATGTTTATTACCTTTGCTTAAAAAGGATTTAGACGTGTAGCTGTCAGACTGACGGGTGTTTTCGTTGATGCAGGTTTAATACTATGTTGGCGGGTGTACATAACGAGTTCATAATGGTTAAATGCGTTTTTCTGTAACAGCGAGTACTGCTGTGTTGGAAAATACACGTCTTGACGTGAGAAATGTTAACGATGCATTTACGCAATTACATGTGTACAATTACATGTATTATAATTATATTGCATGATCGATAGAGTTTCAAAGTTTTCCTTCTGATTATTTATTATAGTTAGAGCCACATAGGTTACTGCAAAGTATAATGATATGTCTTTGACTCGTACTATTGTGTATGTACACCCGAAAAGTTTTTAAATACCTTTAAAATTTAATTTAAAAAATAAAATAATAAACTATTCTTAAGTATTTCATTAAAATGTATTGTCCTGCGAAACATAGAACTACGGTTTTTTGTAATATAATTAAAATATTACTTTTATTACTGCAGTCCTGTTGTTTATAAAGCATTTAACCTTATTTCATATTGTTACAAGTTATAACTTGAAAAAGTTATGTAATAACAGATCCACACATACAAACATGACGAGTTTATAAATCCACGTTCATATGTATATTTATCAATAAATATTAATAAATTATACACTTTGCATTATTCTATAACGAAGAATCAAGTTTCAGTTACATCAAAATAACGTATTTTATTTACCAAACGTCCAACATGACGTTTGAACTTTTTTTCCTGAATTTTAAATTAAAATAAATAAACTGCACTACACTTATAAGTAGGGAACGGATTTATATGTAATAAAAATACATAAATATGTACATATGTATGTAAGTATAATTTATAAAATATGTACTAAAACCATCCAAATATGTAGGAAAAAAATTTAAAAAAAAAAAAAATTATAATTATTAAACTATCAAAATGATTTGTTGCATTGAATAATTACAATATATTTTAAATTATCAAATATTAAATGTCGCCTATTAGATCTGAAAATATTTTTAAAACGGCTAAATGATCGTTCCACATCAACCTACATCGGTTGATTTAAGCATATTTGAAGGGCATAATATTAGAAGGCGATAATTCCAAATTTTTAGAAGGGTGTCTGCCACTAATTATGTTATTAATTGATTTAAAATCAATATGGCCTGAAATTTTTTTCTGTCAAAACATGAATTTTCTTTTTTACTACTTCTCCTATTGGTCCGTTTACGAGTTTTCATTTTGCAATCGTTGATTTGACAATTTGCATACTTTCATTCAAGGACATATTTTTGTTTCTAATTTTTTAATTGTATGTGCAATAAAACTAAAATTCATTAAGATGGAAATTAAATTTGTTTTCAATGTTTCATTTTGCATAATATTTTGAGCTTTTCTAATAGCGATAAAAGTTCTGGATCTAAATTTGAAATAATTTTTTGTATTTTTGTACGAAGAAGACGTATGAATGATGAAATAATAAAATATGTTTAAAAATATTTACAAATTAGTGAAATATGTAAAAATATGTAATTATACCAAAATATGTAAAAATATGTAAAATAAAAGTAGCATCATATTAATAGGAATGATTTAAATCATGAACATTTCTTATCAAATTTTAAATATCTCGTTTTAATAAAAATATGTATTTACATATAAATCCGTTCCCTACTTATAAGTATGAGTTATCAGTTCTGTGTGTGTTTCATAATTAATTCCAACACAAATCCTCTCGCTCTATTGCGTGTGAAAATAACGAAAATTGTTGTGATATTAAATGGAAATTAAATTAATTGTTTTGATTTATTCCATGTAGTTTAAATACAACAGTAGTAATTGTTTATATAGTTCTATACATAGTCTATATATACATACCTAATATGGATATGATAAAAATAAAATATGAAATTAAGCAAGGCTGTAACCAGGTGGACTTAGGGTTTAGATCCCCCGAAATGTTTTCTTAAAATAAAGTTGAATGATTTTAAATGTTGTTAGTTAAAATACATATTTATTCTCTAACTTTCCTCAAAATATTTTGCTGATTACAGTTTTCAAACTAATGATTAACACTTAACATGCATTTAAAAAACCAAATTTTAGTTTAAAATTTGAATATCATAATATACTTAGTTTTGAAACTGATGGATTATCAGAAGATGATCATTTATTGCGTTCAGCGCATATTCTACTCCACAAAGCGTTATCAGTACCCTCGTAAGAAATTGTATCAAAGGATAACAGAGGATAAGTAAAACGCGGGACACGGGCATAATATTTGCAGCCCATTTTATTATTTTTATTATTATTATCATGTTAATTACCTTGTTGTAATTGAACGTGTAGTTGGTTCTGACCGTACGGTTAGCTTGGTTCCAAGTGTTCCTGTGTTTGCCCCTGTCTGAACTTGAGCTCTTCCCGTGCAGGTTCACGGTGCCGCCGTTACCGTCTTCGTAAATCAGTGGCGTGATAGCGCCGCCGGTACCGTTGTACGGATCTTCCGTCGGCATCACCATCATTTCCTCGGTGACCGCGGGCTGCAACGGCTCCAGTTCGACCGGGCCACCACCCGCGATCATCATCTCATCGTAGACCACGTTGTCTGGTAACAGCGACTCGTTGTCCATGAAGTCCAGTGGCGTGGTGGCCACCGTGGTTGACGTGGATGTGTAGTTGATCAGCGGTGGCTTAAGACCGGTGGGAGGCGGTCCGGGACGCAGCACAAAGCACACCATGGATATGGAAAAGTAGAACGCGAACAGGATGAACTGCCTGTAGAAACTGAATGGTGAATTAATAATTTATTAACGATCACCGACGTTTATGTAAGCAAATTTCTAAAACTCGAAAAAAAACTCAAATCTCAAATGCCATACTTAAACAGCATAAATTTCATTGAAAAATATCGAAACTATGAAATGACTGAACAACAATCATCGTTAAATGGAACTTCGTTGAAAAAATGTCAGGTGATATAAATAATTTTTAAGACTTTTCAGTAATTTTTTTCTTTTTTTTACTGGCTACAATTAATATCCTAAAAACAAGTTTTTATTCAATTTTCAAGTTTGAGGTATAAACATTGAATATTTTATGAATTTTTGACTGTGAAAATGAAACGGATTTTCGTGATATTATTTAAAATTCAAACACTCGAACATTTTTTTTAGTTTTAAAATCAAGTTCATTAACCAGTAAAAGATATACACGAGGAGCTTTGTATTACACTTTTCAGACTTTTTGTCGAAATCTTTAGAAAAAGTTGTGCATGCACACAAAGAGAGACGCGCGCACGTTAAGTCAAATGTTATTTTGAGAACAAGAAATTTGTGGGATTTTTGAAGTCACAAAGTTATTTCGATAGAGCATGGGATCTCAATATTTTGAAGCACATGCTCTTTTTCATAATACTGTATGAGATCACGTACCTTTCACCATGATAAGAATGATTATATTAATCATTAAGTAATCAACATTTTAACACTTTTAAAACGAAGTGTATTAATTAATATAATTAGGGTTCGAAAGTTATAGGAGTTGCAAATTGTTCTGTATGCTTTGGATTTATAGCAAAACAATCTAGAAATCCGAGTTATATAATTTTGAGTTTAAAAATTGAATATTAAAAATGGATATTAAGAATATTTCGTTAATTTTAGAGAAAAAGTGAATATTTCATTGATTTTCATTGATTTTCGCATATTTAATATTTTCTAAAAAATTTAATTTTTTCCATTCTTAGCCAATTTATTTTAAATAATGTTAAATAACACAATGCTAATAACATGGAAAACGTATATTATATACTGTATGTATACATAAAATTCTATAAAACTCAATATTATTTTTTGTGGTTATTTATTATTATTTTTTATTGTTTACTATGAATTTAACGAAAATATTGATGATTCAATGTTATAAAATATATATTTACTTGGTATTTCATAAACAAAGAAAATATATTTGCTTAACTATTTTTTCAGTTCAATAAATGTTCTCAAATGCCAACCGATTATGGGTCATATTTTAGTTTTCAAAAATACATTTTTTTTTAATTATTGGTTTTTAGAATTTACTAATTAACTTTTAATAAATAAATAAATATTTTTTTTGCATAATTCACACCTTTTCATGCATATTTTATCATTTTTTTCGTGAATATTTTGCCTTTTTTGGCTCCTATAACTCCTGAACCCTAATTATAATATTATATTAAGTTTTTTAAATATTATATTTTGCCCTTCTTACTGTTAAAAAAAAAGTGACGAGACTGTTGACAGTGTTTAGCTTTATGTTTTTAATTTTTTGTCGACTATTGTGATAGTGCGCGTAAATAGAAGATAACTTAATTACTCAATAATGCCCGATAATATACAAATAATCGGAAATAATGTTTTTATGTTTTATAACAAGGGTTGGTAAGTACAGTCAACTCGCGATATAACGAATTTCTAGGGACCGAGAAAAAAATTCGTTATATCGAAAGTTCGTTACATCGAAATTCGTTATATCAAGAGAATATACCAATTGAATTCGTTATAACGAGAATAAAAATAAAAATTCAAAATTTTACTATTCGTATACATATGTATAAAATATATGAGTCATATAAGTATATATTTATTGTTTAATTTCAATATAAATGTATGTAATAATATTTCTAATAAAAATATGCTATAATAATAATATTGCTTTTAATATATATGTACATATAATAAATCGCTATACATGTGTGCATTTATTTTTTTAAAAAATCAGATATTTTTGATTGTTTGCTACTGCTTGAGTTTACCTTATCAATAGTATTGTCCAGATTTAAAATACTAGAAAACACATTGTCGTCAATATCATGTGACTGTAAATAACTTAAGACGGCGCGAAGACCTAATTTGGCTTCCTTCGAGTTTACGATGGGGTCTTCAGGAGACTTTTCTTCGTCATAACCTTCTTCATTATTAAAACTGGCAAAACTCTCATCGTCTGAAAGAGACCCACAGACAGCCAAATCATCGTCGATAGCAACATAATCTTCAAACGTCAATTGATCGTCTAGAACAGTCGATAATGTGTTATGTTGAGTGTCAACTTCTAAAGTGATAAGGAATTCTTCTTCTTTATTATCAATAGTTTTCATAAATCCACATTTTCTAAAGCAGTTGCGAATTGTTTGTGTAGTCACATTGTTCCAAGCTTTGTGGCTGATTATTATAGCAGTCAAAACGGTTACTTTCGGAGAATCATTATTATCTAAGCAAGCCAAAAATTCAGATACAATTTCTTTCGATATAGAAGTTTGAAGTTTTTAATCATGCCTTGGTCCAGAGGTTAGAGTTTTGAGGTTATGTTTGCTGGAAGAAACTCAATTCGTACATTAGAGAGAGTTGGGGGGTTGTTATGTGCAGTGCAATTATCAACAAAAATTATAATTTTTCTATGTTGTTTTCGCATGTCATTATTGAGAGTTTCAAGCCATTTGTTCCACAGTTTGGTTGTCATCCACGATTTTTTGTTGTTTTTATACGTCACCGGCAAAGATTTGACATTTTTAAATCACCTAGGTTTAGCGGACTTGCCTATAAATAAAGGCCTTAACTTCTCCGATCCATCCATATTTACCGCAAAAAGTAAAGTGACTCGCTCCTTACTAAGTTTCCCTCCATGGCACTTTTCATTTTTAAACGTTAGTGTTCGGTCAGGTAAACATTTAAAAAACAGTCCTGTCTCATCAACATTGAACACATTTTTCGGATCGTACTCACATAATAAGTCTTGAAGTTTCATCTGCTAGTCGTTACAGATATCTTCATCGACACTTGCACTTTCTCCACAAATTTTTTTGAACACCAAGTTATGTCGCTTTTTAAAATTAGATAACCAACCGTCACTAGCATTAAAATCAGAGATTCTAAACATTTCAGCATAACTTCTAGCTTTTTCTTTGATTAAAATACCACTCACGGGAATATTTTGCTGCCTAACTTGATTGAACCAAGTGAATAAACATTGTTCTATACGGGGAAACTCACTTAGTCGTCTTTTTTTCTGGCTACTTTGTGCGTCAGTTGTATTAAGAATTGCTTCTTTCTGTTTCAAAATTGTAGAAAGTGACGAAAAAGGAATTTTAAAACTATCTGCGACTTATTTTTTCTTTTTACCACTCTCGATTTCTCCAATAATTTTTTTCTTGTCCGAAATTGACAAACACTTTCGTTTTGAACTCATAATTGTAACTCGTAAAACACAACGTATTTTCGAATGTACGGTCACGTTTAACACAACGAACAGAACTAAAACTGTACCGATATGTTACATAGTATGTTACGTACATTTTGCATAGAGCCACTAATCGACATAAGTCTTATCTTAATTGCGATACTGTACTTGAGTGTACTATCGCATGATAATCATCAGAAAAACTTCGTAATCTATTATGTGGTAATAGCAACATACTTATTTTTATATATTTTTCATAGAATTATACACTAGAGACATGTATCTTATCTTAATTAAAATTAAAAATTCGTAATAGAAAGCTCCAAATTTATAAAAATTCGTTACATCGTGAGAGTTTTGATCAAAAACGCTTCGCTACATCGAGGGGACCAAAATACATTACATTTGTTCGTTATACCGCGATATTTTTAAGGGACCGGTAATTTTATTCGTTATATCAAGATTTTCGCTATATCGAATTTCGTTATATCGCGAGTTGACTGTAATTCACATTGGAGTCCTAAAGTTTAAAATAATAAATCAATGAGGTCCAGTGAAAAAATCTTTTTTAAATCTTTATATTTTAAAAACAGCAGTCTGAAAATAAAAATAATTATTTGGTTATTACAATTAATTTATATTAAAAATTATAATATTAGAAGTATGAAAATCAAAGTTGACAAGGTCCAGAGTTCGCATTCCGTAGTTCGCTAGTTGCTGACCCCTGTTTTATAGTTTTTATATATTGTCACCCCTCCCTAAGGGAGTCCCCAGTTTGAGAATCATTGCGGCAGTGTAAGGCAAAATTTTTTTTTTTTGCTTTATGGTCAGTGTCTGCTGTTCCGTCTATCATTTTTATATCTGCATTGACTCTATCTTGCTAGCGTTGTCGAGTTCTTCCACTAGGGCGCTTGCCAGCTGGTTTATTTATCAGTACCTCTCGAATTATGCTTTTTTTAGTGCGCCACACATGGCCCGCCCATTCTAAACACTTGGAATTCAGAAAGCATTTAATACTTGGTTTATTTTTACAGAGATTCCAAAATGGTATTTTTTCTCCTTTCATAGACCCCTGTTGTTTAATTTCTGACAGGATTGTATATTTTCTCATCACTTCTCTTAGGTTTCCCCTCATCCTCTTTAGTCGTCGATCACGTCTCATAAGCATACTTTACTATTGTGCGTAAATGATACATAGAATTTTTCCTTTGTCGCATATGATATCATTTTTGAGCTTAATAATCTATTCATTGAGAAGTATGCTTGGTTTACAAAGTCAATTCTAAGTTTAACTTCATTATGCATGTCATTTTTATAGTTGATATTAACCCCCAAGTACTTAAAATCATCAACCTGTTCGAAGGTGTATGGTCTATCAGATTGTTCTTAGCGGGCGTGTGGCGTGTCATTAGCATGTATTTTGTTTTTCGTTAATTGTGAGACCCATCTTCCAATTAGATGCAATTAATTTTTCCATAGCGTGTCCTACCTTCTGGCTACTATTTCTTAGTATGACAACGTCATCCGCATACGCCAGCATTGTAATATTTTTATTGAGCTCTATTATTCGGTCTTCTCCTACATCTCTAACTATATGTTCAAGAGCAAGGTTAAACAAAATGGAAGAGAGAGCACCTCTCTGTTTTAACCCCGATTTTACTTCATAAATGTTAAGAAAAAAATGGTGGTTCAAAATCGTAAATCTACAAGTGGGAAAATACATGCTTATGATAAAAGTACATAAAACGGTGTTCATATCGTCTGTGATAATGTTATGAAAAAAAAGAAAAATTTGAAAATAAATTATTGAAAAAATTCGACCAAACTCTTATGAAGTAATCTCAGCAGTATCAGCAGTAACAGAACCGTTTGGTATTCTGTGGGTTAGATTAAGGTTCCTGAGTTTCAAGCAAAACCGTTTGAATATTAATTAGTGCAAACAAAATGTAGCGGTTTCGCAGAGTAAACGAAACAACGTTACAAAGATCGGTGACGGGATCTGGGGGTCACAGGCACGCGTGGTAATGCTATGTGGACATTTCAGATGTTCCCTACCCCCTCCCTTATCAACAGTATTTGAATTAATACCGAAATGCAGTTCGACCGTTAAAACACCATTGGTCTGATACAATATCATCGCTGTGATGACCTGCAGTTCCATCGAATGCAGTCCATGCGTTGTTTTATCGACAAATTTGTGGTGTACGGTATGTGCACACTGCATGAATATTACCGCCTCAATTGAACCGTTGACGATGGGTTTGCCAATCTTATTGTTAGGATAATGTCACACGGTCGGGTATCGCGGTGCAATAGATACACTTAGAGTTGTTTGACAAGTAGGGAAGTACGAATTATAGCACAAAACCTTTTTCTTCCACCGACGCATCTTTACTTTATGTGAACTTTGCAATGCGAATAAGCTCGGATTTTCCATACTCTCTGATGGAAATCAAAGTCCAACAAATTTCGAAAGTTGTCCAATGTTGTCCGACAAATCGTCAAGAACTTTCTGGAGGAGATCGAAAGAATGGACGTTAATGTTGTTCTGCAACCCAGTCTATAGCGGTGCACTGGATCGTGAAACGAGACCGTGTTTCAGCGGTGTACTCGATCGGTCTGTACCGGCAGGTGTCACCGAGAAAAACGTTTAAACCAATTTGAATCGGATACATGTACACCGTTATATCCAGTGGCGTATTTTCGACGGTGGGAGATCCCGAGTCTCGACCATCAGGAAGAAAAAAAGTTTCAAAAATCATAAATTACTTCATACGAAGGTACAAGAAAAAGAACATTAATTTTTATCATGTGATTGTAATGTTATATTTGTTTTCCATTTATATGGAAGATTGAACGGTTTACTGATGTTATCAATAAAAAAAATTCTTAATAAAAATTAAAGAGAATATTGATGAACTGATAAAATAAAAGATGCTTGATTTTTTTATTATAAATAATTATTTATTCTTAGTATCATACGTTTTATTGATTGTAATAAAATTAAATAAAAAATTAATAAAACGATTTTAATAACGTATTAATTTATAAGTTTCCACCTTGTAAAAGTTATAATTACTGATTATTAAATTAAAAACTAGAACAGTGGTTCCTAACCGTGGGGAATTCATCACAAGGAGAATAAAGTGATGGTGAAATAACAAGAATTTTGATCGTTAAAATAATTATACAGTTAATAATAATAATAATAATAATAATAATATTACAGTTAGTAAAATTAAAAACAATGAATTAATTTTCGGACGGTCATCCATTGAAAACAATTTATTGAATACTTTATAATGATTGATTTTTTCGCAGGTTAGGTTAACTCTTATCCAAAAATGACAGAAAAAGCTTTCCGTAGTTTTTTTCCATTTGTATCTACTTATCTTCGTGAGTGTGGTTTTTGAATACTTTGCAAATAAAATCAAAGATATCGGTTGGATGTGAAAAATGATATGCATTGCGCGTTGTCAAAAATATTCCCATGAATTATGGATTTAGTAAAAAAAAAAAAAAAAAAAAATATAACAATTAAATATAAAACTTATTTCTTATTAAATATTTTTAATCATAATATTTATTATGAAAATGTGTGAAATTGTATTAAAAAAATGTGTAAAATTATATTATTAAGTCCAGTGGCATATTTTTAAGGAGGGGGATTCCCAGATTCGATCCACTTTGCCAAAAGAAAAAAGGTTTAAAAGTCATAAATGACTTGCTACGAAGGAACAGAGAAAAATAAAATTAATTTATATCCTGTAATTGTAAATAACTCGTATTTATAATAATATTAGAATAATGTGATTAATAATTCATTATTTTGAAAATTTGAATTTGAAAATACGTCACTGACGAATTTAGTTTATATTTTGTTTTTAAAATGATGAAAACATATATGTGATTATAATTATTTGTATCATAAATATTTTGTATCACTAAAATAAAACAGAGAAATTTTTTAAGGGGGTGGAGGAGCATAGAATAAAAAAGGTTGGGAACCACTGAACTAGTATGATCCTGATTGATACGTATTTTGATGCGGAGAAATTATCATATTAGAAAAAAAAATAAAGAACACCTATGTTGTACATATGACGAGCCTGTAGTATATACCACGTTAAAATCGATCGAAAAAAAATTCAAAATCTCACGCGGATATATTACGGATATCTCAATGTAGTCAAAACATTGTTCATTGTCCTACACAGTCCTCTAACCAAAGACTTTACATAGTTAACGTAGTACAACGTAACACGAGGTTGTGCAAGTTATTACCATGTACAATGATAACTATGATTCGTTGAACAACTTGCAGCGTTGATGAAGATGATCGAATTTCGTTTATTTTTAATTTTTTTTTTTTTAGAACTCACGTGTAACCAAGGATATTATTTTCCTAACTGTGATTTTTATTTATTGCATTTTGAGATGTGATCAAACACGTTCCTCCCGGCAAGGCATTTACGGCACTTTATACGGATTTCACGATTTTTTTATTTAAATCCTCGCGTTACACATTCACACACATCACCCTCTCCCCACTAACATAAACACATACATGCACGCTTGTATATTTCGCGTATATACTTTGAATCATATGCATAGCTATGTTAACACCTTTGGATAAAATAAAACAGGTTATCTCGTTCGATGTACGAATACACTCATAATTTCAAATTGTTTGCTCCCGATTTGATAAAATATCATATTCACGGTATCAAAATTGTACAGTTATAATAAAAGCAATAGTTATATACTATTGTGTAAACACGAATCACGTTTTGTCCAACGAGAATACGTGACCACAATGATTTTCTAAATACATAAAATTATATCTATACTGGCTAAACCGTTGTCGTGGTGTACAGTGTATATCGTACACAGAGTCAGTAGGCAGCTTACCGAAATTTCACGAACGCGTTCCATTTGGCATTTAACAGATCCACCAACACACCGTCCATCATTTCCAAGTGCTCCGGGCTTTCCTTTAAAACCGCAATAGAAAAATAAAGTTCTTATTAAACGTATTCTACTATATATATTAGGGTGCCAGTTATTGATATGAATAGAACATTTTTTGCTAAATTTTTTAAAGAGCGGACCGGAATTTTGTTACAATACATCTAAAATTAATGTCTGTAAAATTTGAGCTTGATCGAACTTAATTAACAGGTGGCGACTTAAGCTCAAAGTTTTATGGAAAAGGGTAAAATGTTGGTTTTTGGTATATAATTAATTTAATTTTAAATTTGAAAAAATTTATATTTTTATTTCCGATATACTATACAATTACATGTTTTAATTATTATAACACTATAAATTAACTTATTTAAAAGACAACATATTTATAAAGATTTTTTAAGATCTTTCAAAGTAGCAGATTTTGGATATTTCTTACGATAATCTTGAACAATCTGAAAATATAAAAATGTTTGTTAATATATTATTCTTTATTACACAAAGTTAATATTTATCATTTACTTTTAGTAGAAATTGCTTTTAGTTTAAATATTTTGTAATTTTATGATTGAACTCTTCCATTAATCTTATACTCCGTTCTGCAGGATCATTTAATAATTTAAGATCACTTGCTATTTTTTTCCCTTTCATGAATTCGGATAAATTAGTCCATGTATTTGGATTTGATTTTAAAAATGCAATTCAAATACTAAATTGTTCTAAAAAATGTTTAGATTTATGGTTCACGAGTTTTAATAAAATATTATTATTGTAATTTTCTAAAAGACAAATTAATTCTTCATTATTCAAAATTAATTTTTTCTCTATTATTTCTTCCTCGTAATCCTCTTTGTTATCAATTGTTATCATTTTTTGGGCCATTTTCATTTTGGTGTCTTCATTTATTCTGTCATTTAACAGTGCTAACGCGATACATTCTTCGTTTAAATAATACAAATGTTTAAGAAACATTTGAATAGCAGAATTTGAAATCATTTTATTAATTGTGCGATACTCGTAGCAGGCTCTCAAAAACATGATATCATTTAATGGAGCTTCATTGGAATTTGGCGCAGAAGCGTGCCATAGCATTTAATTAAAAACAAATTGAAATGAGAAATATAATTAATCTTATTATTTGTTAACTTAAAATCTTGCCGAATATATTTTGAGACAATAGATGTCTTTGGCCATCCACCTTGCATGATGGTATGCACCTGGCATTTTAAACTTAATTCTTCCAGGAGGTAGGTACTTCTCCCAAAAAAAATAATTATTAAATCCAATAATTCTATATAGTCGTCTCGGATTAAATTTACCGAAAGTTTAAGTTTTGCATATTCCACAATGTCAATGTAGTTGTTTCCTAATGCATTTTTAATATCTATGTAAGATATTCCGGTAACACATTTATTTAAGTTTATAGTATCTAATTTTGCCTTAAACCGTTTGAATAAAGGAATATCTGGACCTGTCAAAGGTGAGATTTTACATTTTCTAAAAATGTCAGCTAGAACTATCTCAAATATATGGTGTCTACTACCAAAATAAATAATATCTCTATTTAATTTATTTTCTAATAATGTACAAGCGCCATTTATCTGCCAGTGTTCGACGCGGTCGTATCAAAAACAAATGCTTGAGTTTTATTTAGTAGTTCCCAACTTTCTAAAGTATCGAAAACTGCAGGTGAAATTTCAAGCCCTGTCTCCGTCAACACTTTAGGTACTCCCAATAATTGTTGAAAATTCGTACCTGTAGCGATGACTGCTAATCTATCGACAAATTTTCCATTATTTTATTGTGAACAACGACCGACTTTACATTTAAATTAATGAAGGCTTGCTTTAATTGTTGATCATATGATTCCCGATAGACAGCTCTAGCATTTAGTATAGATGTCCTATTGATAATATTGTCAGCAGAATTTAATGACACAGTTTCCAAAAATGCAACTAACAAATATACGAAAAATTTATTGCTTTCGTTTTTCTATATTTGTTAAGTTTATGTCTACGCCAAGCATCGAACCTAGACATCCTTTTTCTCTTTGTTTAACTAAAAATAACTTATCTTCTTCTATACGTATCATAGTAAGTGCATCTTGATGATCAATATCAAAAATATCATTCATAGAATCATTAAATAATCGTTTTTTTTTTTTTTTAAATGTTTGATTGGTTTTATTTTTATTTTTTAAAATACCTTTATACTCCTCATAAAGTTTAATTAACTTAGCACTTGTGTCGGAGTCCCAGCTTTTTTTCCAAACACTATACATATTTCAATCACTAGTGAAGCGCTATCGTTTAAATTTAGTTTTGTTATTCTCATATTATAAAATAAAACTTTTAGACAATCACCTCTAGAAGGCAATTTTGAACCTGTTATTTGATGATTCATATACCCAATAAGAAATATCTTTTTACGTAATGACATTTTAAATATCTGAATAACAACTGAGTTAATAATTAAATATATAGTTACTGTTACTGCACAACAAATAACACTGACACTATTTTTTATTATTTGGTGTGATAACTGCAGTGAAATTAAATGGATATAGGACAACGGAATATTGCCAAGCACGATAAAAGATTATTAATAATATTCAATACATGCTGTTGCGTAATAATGATAATCAGATAGATATCGCTATCATTTATAATTATAACCATAATAATAGTTATATTATAACTGAAATACTTATTATCGCTTAACTTTCTGCTTAAGTCGCCACGTGTTAAATTTGTTCAATTAAGCTTAAACTACAGATTTTTATTTAAAAGATATATAAAAACAAAATTAGGGGGCGCACTCATAAAAAATTAAACTTAAGAAAATAAGTGGCACCCTAATATATATATATATATATATATATGGCTATAATATACTTAATAATACAGTGGATTCTCGATAAGTCATTAATTTCAGAAATTTAATGTAAAACCTTATGATCATTTAAATTTCTGATGTACTTAAAAAAAAAAAAAAATCCTCTCTGATCTCAATTTATCGAGTTTCTCTTGTATAATCTATCAAATCCCAGGGATGGTGAGTCTTTTTAGAAATAATTTAACCCATTTAGATAATCTGTGCTTGGAAATTGGAATCAAATGCATTGAACTTAATAAACCGTTTATTTCATAATATAAAATTGTAATAATATTGTTTTTCGATACATAACATATTACTTAAACAGTATACTTGTATTGTTATATGGTGGAAACGATGTTTATATCATTTTCTATGTTATTATTAAATGAATGCAGAATAAGTTAATATGAACTTTGGCGATATTTAAAGTAAAATATTCGGTTCTATCAGTGCACTTGAGTTGGGTATCAAATATTAACGGGTAATAAAAGTAGTATACTACATTTGGGTCTCGGATTATTTCAGGTACTACACTAGTTCAGCAAGAACTACTACGCTAACATTATCCTTTCCGTTTCTGTAGGTTTATGCCTCGTTACACAAAAGGTCATCAAAAACGGGTCTGTAAGTTATAATAACAGTTCGATAAACAATTCAATAAATATCTTTATTGAACTTACTAATTATGTTGCGTTGCAAAAACATTTCCATATAAAATTTAATAGTTCGTTCGTTAGACCGTGGTTAAGTTCAGGGGCTAATCCACAGTTACTGAACTTTTAGTTATGCTTCTTCAAAATCCACTTATTAGGGTAGAAACTAGATTATAAAAGTATACCTTGTAACAAAAAAACATAAAATGATCTTATATATATATAATATGTGTTTTAAGGTTTACTCATGATTGTAATTGAAAAAATGAATATTTATTTTATTTTATAGAGTATTAATAAAAATATTTTACTGTACTATATAATTAAACCAATAACGTTATTTGAGGAGAAAGGGGTGGCAACTTGTCCATTTGCCCCAGCCAACGAGAATTAATTTGAACTTATATTTGGTACACTTAAAAAATATATGACGTCTTTAAAAGGCAAATGTTGTCTACTAATTATAACTGTGGGCTACCTAACTTCCTAAACTCCCCTCCTAGATTCGTCCTAGGTGGTAAACAAGTGGTAAATCAATTTATGTTATCAATAAAATCATACACTTTTAATTTTGATCGAAATATTTTTATTTATTTTTTTAAATATTTGCAAACTGAATTTAAAATATGGCAGTATTTAATAAAGTAGGCAAGAATTTAACAGATGCTGAAAGAAAAATGTTGACATTTTATGTATGATAAATAAGTAGCTAAAAATACTTCATATTTTTAATATGAATCAACTATACCTAAATCTGATTTTGAAGTCACATTAATCATACTGTTCAAGGGGGTTGAAACGATCAGGATATATTAGGTATTATAATTATTAATATAAATGTTATAAAGCCAATTAAGTTATAGAACACTAATCATTTATTGACCTGAAATCGAACCTACAATTTATCCAATCGATACAACATAAATTTATTTTGTGTAACTGATTATTTTTTATCTATTTGATTACTAATTTATTGGTTTAATAACTAATTATTGACCCTTGGTGCAACTGTGCATTAATATATTGCATCAAATGTATTGTATTATTTTATATTTCAATTATATCATATGTATTTTAATATTTTTTCGTTTATAATATATTTTGTAAAATTCCAATGACTTAATTTTTTTATTATTTCGGAAAAAAACGTGTTTGACCATATCTGAGTTTAAAAATAATTATTGAAATACTCCTTGGTCAATTAAAACAAGGAGATAAACATCTACAAGTGTAGTACCTGAACAAAATCCGAGACCCACCTGGTGTAGACATTTTGATTTTGAGACTCATGTCTGATGTAATCGAAAAAAGTTTGAGCATTCCCGGAGTACTCAAGTGTCTTGGATCTGACTCTTCATACCTGGTAAGATGGTTCATCGTACAAACCCCAATCGAAATAGTAAAACAAATGATTATTGCTAGTTGTTAAACTACATTGACTTACGCCAAACACGACCAAGTTAAGTGCGGAGTTTCTGCTGATCTGCCCGGTGTCGTTGTCAATGGTATCGATTTGGGTCAGAGGATATGCGGCACAAGTAATACTGCCTGTGTGATAAATGTAACAAACGTTTAGGCCGTACGTATTATTATAATTTCACCATTGTTATGCACGGCTTACAGAGTCGCACATGTCATAATATTTATCGCATAATTATTCACAGAAGCAGTCCGTTCAAAAGTATCGACCAATTTTTCACTTTTTTTTTTTTTTTAGTTAAATTTGCTTTTATTAAAAAAAAAAAAAAAACATTAAAGCAAAGCAATTCATTATGAAAACTAAATAGATAAAAAAACTAAATATAAATAAAGAAATCCAACAAAAAGTTAAATAAGAAAGCTAGAGGAGTATATGAAGTTAATAATGGAATATATGATGGGAATGGAGCGAGAGTTGAGTAGGGGAGATTAATTTTAGGAGTGCTACTACCGAAAAAAGATTGGAAAGAAAGAAGAAATTGTCGGTAAGAGAAGGTTAAGGATAATAAAAAATGGTGTTGTTAAAATCGCAAATTAAATTCTCGTGGGCTCTAGTACATACAGGAGAGAAATTGAGAGAAAGTCTGAAAACATGGTGAGGAAGTACCTTATACCCAATTTGAAGTCGGGTGAATGCAGGTGCCTAAGGATGTTGAGATTTATGAACCATGGTTGTTGAGTAATAACGGGAACGATGTGTTTGTATCATGAGGCGAAGTTGGGTGGTAGAATGGATCATTCAGCTTTCCTAGCCTTACTTAAGAGTTTATAGTGGACATGACCGAATCCGGAAGCTAAAAGGTGGAAAAAAGATTAATAAACTTTGTTGAAAATGTTAGATGATCTGCACGTTCATTTTTGACAATACATGAAGGGTACCCAAAAAAAAATGATCATTTTTATCTCAAGGCTAAGATAATAAACTAAGAAATTGATGAACAAGAGGAGATAAAGAAGAATAAGTTTCACTTAATAAAATAATACAAGTAAGTGTTTTAATTACACTTTCTTTTTCCTTTCTGGTTGCAGCAATACGTCATAATAATTGGATTAGAAATTCAAACTTCAATAACATCTCACGCACAAAGATTATATTTTTTATCTATTTACAACTATTTTGAATTTATATTTAATTTTAAAATATATTTCAATTAAAGAAATAATAAATAAAACACCACAGAAAAGTACAGTTCATCAGAGGAATTTTTTTTTCACTTCTCATCTTTCTTGATGCGGCTTAACTCAGTGCACTGTTTTTAAAAATTACGTCCCGTAGCCGATATTTTGAATGAATCGATTTATAAAATTAAGATGCTACAAAACGTGTTTTTCCAGACGTGTTTAGGACTTACTCGAAACGTATAAAATTATGTGATAGAACATAATAGAATAAACACTCAATCAGCTAATCAATTTTTGTATATTTCTCTGGAGGCTCGGTTGATGTTAGAATCGATTATTCTGGAGACTCGACATGACGTTGTATCCATATCAAACAATGTTTCGGTGTCCAAAGATATATAGATAACAATAGCCTTGCGACACCAATGGAAATAATGATAACATTGGATTTAAACATTAATGAAAATGTTTTTCGGTGAACAAAGGAATTCAGATAGCTTCGGCTCCTATTATATTTTATGGTTACGTTTTTAATATAAAATTTACCGATGGCTACCCATATAGCTGATCAGCTGGTGACGATATTATATTTTAACATGTCGACAAATACCTAGTGGGTGATTAAAAATCGTTGACATCATTTACGATTGGACCGAATATTACCAAATCAAATAAACGTCCGGAACTATACGCACCAGACACTTGGGATTATACGAGAACGTGTACGCTTTATAATTATCACGAATCATATGTAAACATAATATCAATGAATAAACAAAAAAAAAAAAAAAAATTAAATAGTTTATAAATATAAATAAATAAATGTTTATCTAAGAGTATTTTATATCTGTACGAGTAAATTACGATTGGTTTCGAATTGAAAATTCATCATCGGGTTTATACCAAGTCAATAAGATTTTTATTTTTTATTTTTACTGTTTTTGTAAATACATATAATATCAATCGTTATGTCATCGACATCTTGATTTCCCGGACCACTCTGTTTTCGAATATTTTATTTTACTGTGGTGTTGTGAACGACTACTGCGTTACGTGTATAATACAACAATACGGTTGTCAGTGGTGTTCGGTGACGGTCCCGTACCGATTTGCCAATAGATTTCCCGTTCGATTTTGAGTATGTGGAAGAACATTTGGATCCGAGCCAGTTTCGCGGCCAGCGTGAGAGGCGTCAGATTTTGCACGTTACGGATGTTCAGCTCCGCCCCGATCTCGTAGGCCATGTCGAACGTTGGCTGCGGACAACGTACGGTCAACACATCAATAAGCATTATTTTCGTCGTTACACGCGTCTAAATTATCGTTGTACAGGTACGATATGCATCGCGCGTACACAGGGTATCACATCGCGATGATGTCCCCTTTGATTAATTGTGTGTACCCAATGGATTTATTAATTTCTATTTATATTCTTATGCATAAATATATATATATATATATAATATTAGTTTCTTTTAGTACAGTTCAATAGAACCGCCGTGGTAACTTTGAATGTCTTTTTACCGAATTGTAATTTCTATAAAAATATAAAATTAACGCCAATCTTCGGTACAAGTTTTTGCGAACATTTCTATGCATTTCAAATCGGTAATTGTACAATTATACAGCCTATGTAAGTCTAAAGAAGAGTGTATCCTGTAGCTTCTTTGTTTAATAAATAAATTAGTATAAATAAAAACATTTTCAACGAAAATTTAACATTCAATCGTCGTAAATTATACTAAATTAATAGATATATAATTTGTGACAGTGACATATATAAACCTTTGTATGAGATAATAGGTTATATAGTTTGTATCTGTTTACAATTAACCGATACAATTCCTAAATGCATTTAGTGCTTACCATCTCCTGTAAACTCGTAAGTAAGATGCGGTTATAAAACCGATTATTTAAAATATTCGTAACTATTTGTACCGAAGAATACCTATTTCTTAATTTTATAGAAACCAACCCTTCAAAAGTTATTTCTTCTATTTCGTTTAATGGATAAAATACATAAACTACTGTAAGTTTTTAATGGAACCTTCTTATATTAAACTGTACTAAAACGAAACAATTTAAAATAAATTAATATCTACATTGATTTATCCATTGGGATATTATAGTTGGTCATTCTGTATGTGCACTATGTGCGATCAAACTTTTTTCTAGTCATTGGCCATATATATTGTATAGAGTCCAGCAATAATAAATTAACAGCGAGCCATATACAAGTCCAACGATTAATATTATAATCTATTCAGCGTAACGACATATTGGATTATAACTATACGAAATCGATTTCCGTTATATTTATATTTTGTATATTATACATAACCCTACGTTATTTTATCCATGTTGGTATATCCACGAGTGTTTATTCAGAAGGAGGGGCCACTTAACCTCTTCCAAAAATACAATAAAATACAAAGTCGTAGTCTAATAAATATCATTATTATTATGTGTTATTTTAGAATGATAAATGATTATAAAAATATGTAGGATTTTTTTTCAACTCCTCCTTAAGTCTTTTCTATATTGCATATACTTGTAAGGGGTATCAACTTCTTTTTAAATCACCACAAAATATTTTCGTTAAAACCAGTCTAATTGGACTTTGACCAGTCTACATAAACATAAATATAGAATCAAGTATTTGGTTTTCATACAATACACTTGATATTCCTACACATGATGAAATTCAATGTTTTAATAACATTGTCCTGGTACTTTGTAGTCTAAACTTAGACTTACTTGGAAACGTAAATACTATTAGTGAATATTTACTAGGTATGTAAGACTACCGACTCCCATCACATTCGTGTAGTACATTTGCCTATATGTTATGCCGTCTTGACAACATCAAACAAACTATAAATCAATAGAATATAATAATTATATTCTACGTAATTATGCGTTACTTAATTATTACGCCAAAAATTTATTAATAAAAATAACGCTATGTGTTACTGATCAAAGTGAACAAATATTTTAGGGAATTCTAGATAAATTGAGAAATATAATGTTTTTAAAACTATCTATTGTATTCACATTTTTTTTTTCATTTTTATAAAATATTATGAACGTAAAATATGTATTTTTTCAAATTTAATTTTTAATCATTTTAAGTTAATCTTTTCCAGACGGAGAAAAGATGTAAAAAATATGGATCATACGCAAAATTATTGTTATTAGCATGGCATGATATTTTTGAGTATTGTTTTCAAATGAATACAAGTATATATGTACTGCAATAACTTGCAGAATCCTGTTGGCTTTTATTTTATGGAATAAAAACCATCACTGATTATTAATATAAAAATAAATGTATATTTATACAGTTTTGACACACATTATAATTTTACACATCTATAACAATATAGTGAAACATAATATTAATTTCAAAGTTACTACCTCATAAAAATAATATTCAATATAAGAAATATTTCTCTGTGTTAATGTATTTTGTGTGAGTATTTTTTTTAGTGTTGGCCGGGGGTTCCATATATTCGTATTCAGCAACATGATTGAGCAATTGTAATTTATGCGATTTATGCAATTTATGCGATATTGCCACTTTCACGTTATCGAAATCTTGCAACTTAAGTTCTTTATGTATTATTACATCATTTATTAAGGTACTAAACTTCAATGAACCGCGAGCCGAAGGTCGAGCTCAGCTTTATCAGCAACATTATCGATTTATTTAGTGCAATAATTATTAGTTTTATCCATAATATCCCTTTCGGTCCTGACCTACTTGTATAGGTAGGCAACTTTCGAAAAATTGTATTACATTAAGTTTTCATCGCAGTAAACCAAATGTTATAAAAAAATAATTTTTAATATATGAGCATTCATAAAAAAATAATAATATTCATCAATATTTCAGTGTAGTTGTAATATTTTAACTATTTTCTTGACATAATAAAAAAAAATTGTAGTGATGATACGGTCTTATCATCATGATTACATTTCCCGCCAAAACTACTTAACATATGATTCTAAAAATCTGGGATTTTGTAAATCAATAGTGAACACGTTAATATACTCGTATCAACCATAACCAATGTGCTATCATAAATAAATCATCGATTTTACCGCCAAGTTCTATCAGTCTTATCAGCTACTTCTACGAGTAGGTCGGTAAACAACGGAGTATAATATATCAACATTAGATTGCCGTGAACGTGATAACATTACATTTGTTTTTTTTGTTTTCCGTTATTTGTATTATTTTATTATTTTATTATTTATATATTTATTCGTTATACATTTTTACTAATATTTTTAAATATGTCAGACAAACCTTTGAGAGAATATGATATAATTCAGCTGTTAAATGATGGAAATAAATTGGATTAGGCTTATTTTAAGTTTTAAATAGGCTTGTTATTATTTTCTACGATAAACTCATATTAAAAGGTTTTGTTCTTATTTTGTTTTTTTACTTCATTACTACCCGATCTACTCGTAGAAGTAGGTAATTTTTTTTTTTTACTCCTATACAACCCGACCTACTTATATAAGTAGTTAATGCAAATTTGCATACAATTTGGTTAAAAATAATTTTTTTTCTTCTGAAATTGTATAAATATGTTATTTATGGCAGTTTAAACAAGGAAAAAAATTATGGATTTGTTTACTAAAAAAAAAAAAAAAAAATCGGACCGAAAAAAACTGAAATTTTAAACATTTAACATTGGGAGAAAATATAAGATAATTACTATAGTCACCAATTCAAAATTATTATAGAAATAATTCAGTTTATAAAATGTTTGATCACTTATAATGCGTTGTGAAGGATTGTATAGTTATGTAGTGTAATTTCTATTTAATATGGATACAACAATAATTATGTCGGAAAGATATATAGAATTGGCCCTAGTGAATTTTTACAAATATATATTAATTGTATATTATTTATCTTTGAAAATTGAGTAGTACCAATAATAAATGTTCAGTAATAATTTTCTAAGGGTTATATAAACGTAATGTGATTGAAACTTTTGGATAACACAAAACATTGAAAATTCAACTGGAAAAATTGAAACACATATTTTGAGAGAATATTAGTATTAATATAGTTCAAAATTGAAATTGGCAATATCGCAGTTTTTTATGGTCAATCGAGTAGGTTTCTTTTGTGGATCTATGTCCTTTTGATATGCCGAAAAATTTGTTCAATCGTGTCATAAAAACAACCTCTTATGCTCAATAATGTTACAGGCTGTGTAGCTTATACGTAAATCCAACAATTTATCTCGTAATCTCCAGGACAGTAGAAAATATTACAAATTTTTACTGTAACTTTTATTTTAATAATTTTATATTTTAAATTGTAAATTATGTTATATTTATGTAATATACGGAATTATTTGTAAAAATATATTATTATTACTATTAAACGTTATGCGATATCGTCATGGACCATGGACTGAGTACGCTTTCATATACGCTATTTTACTAATTAAAATATCATATTATTGTACTTATAAAAGGTGTTGACTGTATAATAATAATAACGTGAATATAATACCGACTTGACGGGTGATAACGAAAAGCGTGCCGAGACTTAATATAATACGCGCCGACGACGATGTTCGTCATTTTTCGAATTCACGCCCTCGTTCTGTTCAACTTGACTTCATTGCTTGTACACTCGTGCTAGGCATGTGTCATCATTTTAAAGCCGTTATGTATTAGAATAATTTATAGTACCGGCACGTTCTATCGCTGCTACTGTCGTCGCACGAGAACCGATCCTGCTGCATCGGAATTTTTTTTCCCTCATTTATTTTTTTATATCTTTTATTTTTTTATTTTTTTGTACGTGTATCGCTTTTCTTCCCGATGGTTAATGTCTTTTGGATACTGCCAATGGTACAAGGGTGACTATGAGGTAGAAGAGTAGGGGGAGGAGAAGGTAGAGGCGATTCGGTGGCGTTGATGCGTGAGCTGTGGGCGGAGAAAGTGCTATTGTTTATACTTATAGGTGGAGAAAAAAAAAACAAAATTTTTGTTGCACATCAGTACATCACGTACACGCAGTGCTCGTACTTAAATTATGATGCGAATGATATTAAAAACAATCATTCTTTTTTTTTACGTTTTTATTTTGTAATCCGTCTCGGTCACCGTTAAACGGGCCGTGTATGATAAAGTTATAAGTGCGTTTAGCCTTATAATAATATATGACTTATAGACGGATCGTAACAGGACATATCAAACGTGTATAGCCTTGACCTATACACGCTTGTAACCGTTATTGCTTCGTCGTAGAGATGGACAAACGTCCTCCATCCATCCATCCATGAGCTATTACATTCCAGCTCATTGCTTTTACATTTAGTTTAAAGTTTTAATTTTTGTTTATCACAGGAACGCACATCTAGGTCGACGAATATTTATAATTTTTCAATTCTAATTTAAGAGTTTTCTAATTTAACAAATTAAATTATGCCCATTCCAAAGGTGGATCTAACGACCGTTTGAACACGACAAGACCAAGACATGGGTTTTCCTAATATTGGAGTTTAGTGTACGATAACTTATTAGCTAGTAGTATAATTTTAAAATTTTATATTAAACCTAAAAATAGTCCGTATTTGATTTATGAATGATAAATGAAATGGTCATTATGCACATGATAGTATTTGAACGTGTAAACGAAATTATAGAATACATATAAAAATAAAACATATTTTGGAACCATTGATATTAATATGTTTGAAAATTTCTCAATAATTAAATCCTAACGGTTTATTTGATTTCATTAATGGTAATATGATTGTATCATAAAAGCCGCATGCCAGACCGGTGGCATCATATTAACGCGTCTATTCCATATGAGCAAGAAGTATTTTTGTTTTCATATTCCGCTATTCACCAGTAGTGCATTCGAGTTGGCTGTTTTGAAGAAAGTTGCGAGCATATGCCCGCCAGGGACTGAAACCGAACTAATTCTTAAAATGTAGTGGTTTTTCGGTTAATCGCGGTAATAGAGTGTTACAGATACACATTTTATTATCTATTAGTTTGTTACAGATTTTGTTTCTGAGAATAAAGGGCAGCAATTATATTGATATTTATACCATGGATTACAAACTTAAAACCCAAATACATCGGACATTAATAAAATCAATAGTAAGGTATGGATTCGAAACATGGACGCTACGGAAGACAGACAAAAACTCCCTAGGTATTTTTGAATGAGAATTATTTAAAAAAATATACGGACCATGTAAAGGCGAAATATTAGAGAATGAAGAATTAAAAAAAATAGAGAACTAAAAGTACTATATCAAAACCCATGTATCGTGCAAGACATCACCGTGAGACGACTTACATGGGTAGATCACGCATGGCGTAAGGAAGGATCTCTGCTGTGAACAGTACTATAAAATACTCCACAAGGAAAATAACTACTGGGACGCCCGAGATTACGATGGGAAGACAGGGTAAGAGAAAATGTGGAAAGAAGGAGACCAAGAGAATACTGGAAAATAATATCATTGGCTAAGGAAAGCTGGAAGCAATTAAGTTGGACGATAAGGTATTGATGGATGAATATCACCAAGAAGAAGAAGAAGAAGAAGATTTAATACCACGATTTACAACATTATGTACCGTGTAACATACTACCTACAGAAATTATACTATGACAAAACTGAAGTTGAAATTACTAGGAATCAATGGTTCCATAGTGGGTACAGGCTATGGTATGTAGTATTATTGCAGATATAAAACAGTGAATTATTATTCACGTCTATGGTATCTGCTATAAATAATCTTGGTTGAAATGCATTAATTTTCTTTTTCTTTTACTATTACTGAAATGAGTATGATAAAAATATTAGGGACTGTACGAAAATAATACACTGTAGTTGTACTTCACACCATGTCATAATGCAGACCAATAAAGGTTAAATAATTTAGAGTATGGGTTTTCCTCGATAATAATTCCACTTGCCTTCATGGTCCATACCAATTACCAACGCGATAACATGATACTAATGACTTATGTCAAAGTAAATTTAGTTTGTCAATTTGTAATCAATCGTATGCGTGCTGTACTCTTTGTAGTATAAGGATTATTTAATTTAAGGATTATTCTTTTAATTCTTTTTCTTAATCGATAGTTTTTTTATTGTTTCGTTTGTACAGCATGTTTGAGTGTCGCTATCGCCTACATTTTATGCCTATTTTTCGAACTTAAATTATTTATAGAACCTAAAAAATACCGATATTTATGAACACCAGTACCTTTTTTTTTTTTTTTAATTTTAAAATCCGCAATCATCAGTTGTAAGAAGCGAAACCCCGAAAAAGTAAAATTAAAAAACGGGAACTGAACCAAAACCAGAAAAAATAAAAAATTGAAAATCGGAACCAAACCGAAATAGACAAAAAAATTATTTAGATTCCGAGCCCCGGTGCGCGCACATAATATTTCAGGTGACAAACTTATAAGAAACATCACAAAATGTTCATAAGTGCATTAGATGCGGTCGGGGAATAGTTTTTCGAACTTTGCACGGGCCAACGAAATGCTACGCGGAGATTAAAAATAATCGGCGAACGTCTGTTGTGTTCACAATACACGCGCGCGTTACTGCTACCCGGTTGTTCGTACGGCGCGCGAGGTACGGAGAAAAGAAAATTATCGATCGCCGCTCCGTACCCGGTCCATTGTTTGTGTTCGAAATTTATGCTAACTCGGATTCCCGGCCGTACATTTTATTATTATAATGTTTTACACGGCGGCGCGGATTTTTCCGTTGTTTATCCGCACGACAGCGAAACGAAGTGCGAATACTGTACAAACAAGACCGTCGTCGTCAAAAGAGAAAACGTAACGGAAGGGAAATTACGCGTTTCACTCGTCGCGGGAAGTCGGGAGAACGCGACACGGTACCCCGAAGCGAAGCCCATAAACAATAAAACGTATAATGTGCACGTGTTGTGCGCGCCGTAGATAATACAAAAATGGGTCGTTCGATGCGCCCTACCCACACGTTATGTTCAAGAGCACGGAACGCTGAACTTCGCAGCGGTTCGCGTTGGTAACTGTGATATGATAATTTGCGTTGATTAGGCAATTGATACAGGACGAACTAAAAATGAATAATTTTAGAATCCATTATATATGAATAATTCAACAAGTACACATATGGTCGCACGGTAATTTCAATCGTAATGCAATCCCATCATGTACATTTACGATATCTTATTTTAATGATAACATGCGCACGTTTCTGAAATGACCACTACTGAGTTTCTACAAAACCCACTTTAACTATTGAACCGGGGCCGTGCACACTTGTTCTGATGTTTCGCATAATTTATTCATAGTAACAATATTACCAATTGAAGTAGAGGATTGATTTAATTGATTACAAACACACGTCATTCTGTTGATAACATTGGTAGTGATTAACGCGTGGATGCTACCACTAGACGTTGCATTTAACTTGATAAAAATAAGTTTTTAACTATAGAAACAAGAATTATTAATAGTTATCTGTTATTGAAAACCTGTTTTTACCAGTTTTATCGCAAACGATCAAAGGTGGAACTAGAAATTTTTACGGCCGAAGAAAATTTTAAAATTCCGCACAATTATAGACCAATAATCTAATACTCTTCCCTAGAATTTTTTTTTAGTTATCAATATACAATCATACTTATTGAATTTTAGCCTAATATCTCCTAGTTCCACCTCTGCAAACGATTAAAGTGATGCCTATAATGACTTTGACTCTGTCGCTATCAGTTTAAAAAATAACACATACTCGTAAATCATAACAACAGTAAAAGTATTGTATATTATTTGAAAAACAATGGTAATGCCCGTTCACGTTTCTTTATTATCTATATGCGGCATAAATATTTAGTTATTTTTCTTGCGTACTCACTATTTTTTCGTAAATCACCAGCATATGCAGCACTGTGTTGCCGTTGGTATCCTGGTTATTGGGGTCCGCACCTCTGGCCAACATCAAACGATAGCTCTCCTCCTGGCCAAGGCACGCTGCAAACGACAGTGGATATTCGCCCCAGTAAACGTATCTGCAGTAAACAATTCGGATTAGGAACAGGTTAATATTTCGGAATCTGTGTCTACGACGACTGTCGTAGCCCATATTATAGTCAAACCATCAGTTTTGTTAAATGCCCGGTTTAGTAGTCAAAGTTTTTAATTTTTTTATGTAATTCACCATCTGATTTTGTCATTTGACCAAATACCAATAGTATGTCGGTACCCAAAATCGACGAGACCATGAAAAATTGTAATTCTTGCATTGCTATCTATATTTAGTATATTTTAAAAATGAATATCAACATCAAAGGTACACCCAATTTAATAGTTGTTATTCATTCATACATCGGAATATTTTCTCATTATAACTGAACATTACGGAGACTCAAAAAGCACTAAAATGTTTGTTAGAAATGTCGGGAATCAATTTTTGAACAATCACAATCAACGAAAATATGTTTTTAAGAGCGTTTAAAACAAACGTAAAATAATAAAATAAATAAATATATGTCGAACAGCATAGTATTATAATAACCGACAGGTTAAAAAATATCATGTGTGGGAGGGTAATCAAAGCTGTGCATAACATGTATTTATCATCGTATTATAATGCCTTTCATAGACCATTTACCCCTCGTAGTTGGTATCGGGACACAGGTTCACCCATTCGTGGTCTAGTGAATCCGATCTGGAAGCTTTTTGGTCCTCGGTGCTCATGAAATTGCCGAAACATCGTTCATTTAGATTGGCCCCACTGTCCATCAGAACTTTTACCATAGCTGGGTCTTCGTTGACGATGGCCATGTGCAAAACGCTCTCTCCTACATCAGAAACCGTATATCGTTTTTATACAAAATTAAACGTGCGTACACGGCTGGTTATGGACAAAACCGGGAGCCAAACTACACTGAATGTACCTGTCCATGCGCATAGTATTTATTATAGATTACATTGATAATAATATTTAATTGGAATACTTGTGATTCGTGAATCACTCTTTTTGTATATGTATTTCAAAGTGGTTTCTATCTTTGCTTTAGTTAGACTAATAAACAACACACTGTGCTACACTATAATTTCCAATATTTTATGTTTTGTTTTGGTCGAAATAGAAAACACACAAAAAATGTACCTCATACACCAATGCATTATAATCAAACGCATTCAATTCTTTAAATAGAAATAATTTGCATAGTACAATAATGGCTTCGACCGTAACTCACCGTAATACTCGTCGATCATGTAAATATCGTTGACGAGTTTTGGATAGAAATGTAATAGCCTTTTGGCCAAGTCCGCGTGTATCGACGTGGCGTTAAGCAAACACAAATGTAATGCCGTCTCACCCACGGTACCCCGTTCCTTCAGATCCCAACACACTTCTCGGTATTGCACTTCTCCTGCGAGTAAAAGTTTTTATAAATACTCTTTGAGACTACATATTATAGACGTTAAATCGCAGCCGACGATGCTGTAGTCATTATCAAGCACTTACCCAGCTTTTCCAATTCTTCGATGGTGGGAATGTCTTTTTCGATGTCATATTCATTGGGATCCTCCATGTTCTTTAGTGGCGGAAGCTGTTCAATGTAAAATGAATAATGTTTAAGTAACAAATAATGAGAACACATAAAATAGCGAGAAGATAAAGAGGAAGAGTGTGTGTGTATGAGAGAAAGAGAGAGAGAGAGAGAGTGAGAGAGAGAGAGAGAGTAGAAAGAATTCGGTAAGATCCTAATGAATTGGAAAAGTAGCAGGAGGTGCGGGATTAATAATAATAGTATGCAACGGGGAAAGAAAAGAATAACAAAAATCAAATCGACTTTGTTCCCAAATTGGTTTCGGAGAGACCCGCCGGAATTGAATTACAGTTAATTTATTAGAAAAGTTTTGACTAAAAGTCGAGCAACTGTAATAAACGACCGAAAAGTAAAACGTGCGCAGCTGGCAGATGCTCTGTCCATTAACTCATAAAATACGACGAGGTCGCACTGATACACCACTAAATGCAATTCTTTTCATCTCCCATATTTATATTATTATCTTACAAACGAGATGGAAACATCCATATTTAACCAATCGAATTCGGTAATTATAAGAGTCGTACAATATAATTTTCGTTCTCAGTGCGTGGCCAGAAATGATGCGATATAATTTAGATTGGAGTAAAAATTACCGTTAGTTTCTTTTATTTCTATTTCTGTACACTTTTTTGTTTTTTAATGTTGTGCTTTGTTTGCGAAAAATGTTAGCTGGGTGGTATAAATAATGTGTAGTCATTACCACTATCAACCAGTACAATGCGGTTCCATTTTGCCGGAAATACTGAAGTTTTTCTTATATTTTTTTTTTAAAAAAAAGTGCTGAATTCTGTATTGACTTAATTTTACATAATCTCAGTAATTTTCAGTGTCATCACTTTTTTTGTTCGTTCTTTTTTTTTTTCTTAATATATTTTTGGTTATCAAGTTATCCGAACAGTGTAGTGTATATACATGTTACTGAGTGATTTAGATGCTATAGTTACTCTGTAATATAACATAAATTAGCATACTAAAATAACGCAAAGTAAATGTTGTACTGATGTATTACACGTTTCATTTAAATTATTAAGTTTTATAACTATGATTTATGATTTTTTTTATCATGAACGTATCAGTTTTTAACTTGAGTCCTATTTCAGATTGGAACTCTAATAATTGTTTTTTTTTTTTTTTAAGTATATAATTTCAGTATTTAATTTATTCTTATTTATCTCACTCACTTTAAATTTAAAATGAAATAAATTACATTTACATTAAGCATTGACAGTGTAAATTTAATAGCGTTTTTTTTCATCTACTAATCTTCAGCTTTAGTTTGTTATGTCATTCCGCAGTGTAAATTAGCATTCGAAAGTCGATTAATTTTCAAGAAGACGCAAAGAGGAAAAAACCCCCCAAAAAAAAAAACCACTTAGAACGTTTATGGGCATTTTCATTTTGTAGGTATAAGTCTTACTATTATCAGTGTTGGGATAAAATAAGTAATTTTTTAACTAGATAAAGACAAAAAAAAAATGCAACTCAAATCTACCTAGATAAAGATACAAGGTAACTTAATTCATATTTATGTAGATAAATATAAATACTTTTTTTATTTAGAAGAAAAAAAACAATTTTTACGAGTGCATCCCTAACGGTGCAGTTATTTTTATTATTATTTATTAATGAAAAAATAAATATTGAACAGACGAAAATGAATAACATATTTTTGAAATTAAATATTAATATAAATAGTGTTATAATAATAGAAACATCATTTAGTTGATAACTGCAAGTGTCCATTTTTTAAATAGTACATTTTCTATATTTATTTATGAATTATAAATATTATATGTATCGGTATGAAACGGAAAAAATATATATTTTTTGATTTATTTATGTTTTACAACTTAAAAGCTTTGATCGATAATTTAAATATTTAATAAATTTAATAGATTTGTTTGCACAATTCTGGTGATCAAAATGTATCTAGATGAATTTATCTAGGCAAGATAAAAAGTGAATAAATATTGATATATCTAGATAAGTCTTAACGTTGACTTCTATACAAGTGTGCATTATGTACTAAAGCCACATGGCCTTAAACGTAGCTTAGTCGGATTTCACGTTTGAGTGTTTCCAAATGAGGGAGAAAAAGTTTTTGCAGTGATGTCAAACAGATAATTAAAGTAATTATTGCGTAACGAAATTTTGTGAACTATTTTCAATTCAATTAAAATCGTAATTTTCCAATTAAGTAATGATATTGTGTTTGTCATGTAAATCACTTTATTATGTGTAATAACGCCGTCGTATTCAAAATATAATACAGTATAACACACATACATGTAGGCAATAGTTCGTAAGGCGTTTGTATAAACAACTTTATAATAATAACGTTTAGACTTGTAGCGGACATGGAATAGAGAAATCATTTATTCCCTTTTCCTTTGTAATTACATTAAATTATACATATATACATTATAATGATATATTTTACGGATTATAATATTTTATACAACATTTCCATACATAATCCTTATTCAGTTTGCCGCGTAACGTCTTCAAATGGCTAACTGTATCGTATTATTCGCGTATGCTTATAAAGTTTATGCATTTATAATTTTATATATTTACAAACTATATCTGGGGCTTGTTGCAAGAAGGGCAAATGTAATACTTTAATGTAGTTGAGATAGTTGGACCAATATTATTGTAGCTATACACAAAATGAGTCATACAATAAAAAAAAAACACAATGTAATCAAGCAACATCGTTTTTAGGGTTCCTGCATTAAATTTAAACAACTTATGTATACACTAAAAATTGGCAAAATTAATGTTTTTATTTCTGAACATTGTTATAATTTGAAATTGACCCTTCTCGCACCAAGACACAGATATACAATACAGATGGGAATTATATTTATTATATTTATATATTATTAGAGTTAGGGAATATCAGAGATATGATTAAATGGACTGACAATATTACATGCTCATCGAGACATAAATTTAAACCACGTTGAAGTTGTACAAATATCTGCCCAATTTAAAAGAAGGTTGAACTTTGTTATCTAAATATTTTGACTTTTACATTTAATTATTATGTTAGATTTTTTTTATGAAGTTTTGAAAAGGTAATTTATAAGAAAAAGATGGATCATAAATTTTAATCTAAGTAGGACGGCCCTAATTAAAAAAAAAAAAAAGGAAAGTTATTAAATACGAGACTTCATCTTTTAAGACCAATATTCAAATCCAAACTACCATTAAAAAATAAACTCCTAATTTATAAATACAAGATTAGACCTGTATGGGTTTATGGTGTCCAAATTCGGGGTTATGCCAAACAAACTCAGAAAATAAAAATCTAATCCTTCCAAGTTTCTGTTTTCGCTAAATTACATATCCTCCTTGGTATGTCAGCAACTGCTCTTTTCATAAAGACCTAAATATTGATACCGTCGATAATTTAACCATAGCAAACTATAAAAAATTCCATTTTAATCTATCATTCTATTTCAACCCACTTGTGTCAAATCAATATTTCTTCACGATACTGGAAAACCCTCCTCGTCGGCTTAAAATACGCTGGCACCGTGGTCTCCCGACCTAGGCATTTTATTCTAATCAAATATAGGGTCCTATCATTGGATAGCTTCCCTTATCGCTTGTTCATATTTGTTTAGTTTTATAATATATCGTGTTCGAAAATTTGCATACTGCGCAAAAAAATGTACAGATTGTAAATGTTATATTTTCAATAAAAGAAAAAAAAAATCAAAACAATTGAATAATAAAGAAATTCAATGCAATTTACAAAATAAATTATTTATTATAAATTATAAAGAATTTCAGAATTCCCATATTTATTGTTGCAGATATATATACATTAAAAACTAGTACTTACCCGTAGGTATTTAAGTATGTATTCTTATTCATGACTTTCCCCTCCAATTAATGTTAGTTTAACAAATATATTACATAAAGTTAACGTAATACAATTATGCTTATATTATGACTACAAATTAACATTTTGAGGATATTTAAGAACTTAAATTGCACAGTGGAGAGTTCTATTTATCATTGTCGATTTTTTCCATACATAATTTTACTGATTGGCCAACACTTACTACTCCTGGTTTATTCTTAAACAAATTGGGCAATCTACTTTTCTCATATCGTTTGGACATAGAACTGAATTCAATATTGAACGCCAAAATATTATATAGTATCACGTTTAGAAAAAAATTTTGCTCAGTTGATTTCAAAACGATTTCAATCGAAAACTGGGTCACGGGGAACACTTGCAAACTATTATAGATCCGAGGTTATTTGATAATACATGTGTTCCGTTTACATTATGTAATAGTTATTAGTGTACAAGTAAAATGAAAATTTTATACTTTTTTATAGTCACAAAATATTAGTTGGAAAAAAATAATATTTCATTTTAAAATCAACAGCTCTTTTGCTCTCCCACTTCACTCAGAATTTAAAAATTAATCAATACCCAAATGTACCTATATGAAAAAATACACAATGAAATATGTACACAAGTTAAAATTATTATTATTTCGTTCGATAACTTTCGAAAATATAAGTCTGCAAAGAACCTACCTATTTCAAGTGTATATAGTTGTAAAAAGTTAAAATAAAATAAAAATTGCACCATCTCTGGTCTCAATGTTATTCTTATTTTATAAGTCCCATGAGCGGGACGGTAAATTTCGTTAAAACTTTGTGTACAATTCGTGCGGAACTATTGGAAAATTCGAAAAATGACAAAAGTGCAATCGTGATCAGTTTTTGGTCATAGTGACTTTTGATGACACTTTTATGTTACTTATTTTACTTATCAAACCAATACTTTAAGTCTCTAACTATTATGATCAAAAATTACTAATAACTCTATATATATCACAGTGGTGAACCCATATATTTGAAAACCACTGATATATAATATGGCATTTTAAAATTAATATATTTAGAGACTTCTATACTTTAATGATACTTTATTGTTATATACTTACTAAAAATAATTTAAATCTGGT